CCCCCCCCCCAATTTATCACTGAACTGCAGGAGGTGGCATAGAGAGGAGAAGAAAACAAAAGACAGAAAAATACAACTATAGAATGATGGAATCAATTGAGTTCAAAGGGACCCTTAAAGGCCATTTAATCCAACTCCCCTGCAATGAACAGGGACACCTGCAGGTAGATCAGGGTGCTCGGAGCCCCTCCAGCCTGACCTTGGATGTCTCCACGGGCAGGGCGTCCACCACCTCTCTGGACAACCTGTTCCAGTGCTTCCCTGCCCTTATGATACTTGTGAACCTTTTTCTTTAAACTCCTATTTAAACTAAACACCCCAGTGTTGCTTTCTGCAGCTGAATCCCCTGCAGAGATGCCTTCCTATTGGGCTCACATTTGGTGTACCAAGATGATGTCTCCTTGGCATACCCACTCAGTGCTGGCATTGCAGCACTTGGGCTCTTCAGAGATGTAGGTATTTTAAGAAGTCAACCAGTTGGTGGAGTTTCTTGAATGGTGACTTGAAGCAGATGGAATTACAAAGGCGTGTGAAGTGAAGCCTCAGCTCAGTTTGGTAGGGAAAGCAGTGGCAGCCACTCTGGAGAAGGAAATCCTTACTGTGCCTCCTCTCACTCCTCTCAGATGCTTTCAGGTTGGATATTAGGAAAAATTTCTCAGAAAGAGTGATGCTACAGTAGTACAGGCTGCCCAGGGAGGTGGTGCAGTTACTGTCCGTGGAGGTGTTCCAGAACCGTGTGGATGTGGCACTGAGGACGTGGTCAGTGGGCATGGTGAGGTTGGGCTGACGGTTGGACCAGGTGATCTTAGAGGTCTTTTCCAGCCTGAATGATTCTATGATTGCTGCAAGGTCCCCATTCTTTGTCCCATGCCTTTTTCAGTACCTGGCTATCAGCCATCACCATACTTCCTAGTTGATATCATTTTTCCTCTGTCCTACAGGCATTGCTGTGCTGGCTGTGCTCCACATTCACTTTGCTCTACTCATTGCTGCAAGAGGCACAGGACAGGCTGCCATTTAAAGAGCTGCGTTGTCCACATATCTGGCTACTTGGTAGCCCTATCATTTTCCCTTTCTACTCTTTTTAACCCTTTAGACAGGCAGGGGCTTCAGCAGTTCATCTTCATTCTGCTGGGATTTTTTCACTGTGCTCCATTGGGTGCTGTGGGAGCTTCCCAAGGGGAAAAAAAAAAAAAAAAAAAAAAAAAGGAGCCTTTTTAGTGCAACAGATTGTGAATCCCACAGCCATGAATAGTTTGGCTGCTTTTCTCACTACAGCCTCACTACAGCCTACAGAATGGGGAGCTGGTGCATGTATGGAAGGAGGGGGAGATGTCAAAAGGTAGCAGAAACTGGCTACCAATGATTTTCTTATCTCCTACACTCCTCAGCATATGACTGCTCATGTTCAAGGGGAGTAAGTGTGCTTTGTAAGAGGAGCAAAACAAAAGGTTGGTTTATGTTACTGGGAGTTCAGCTTTGGCTAGTGAGGCTGAGCCTTCTGTCCTAGCACACTTCCCCCGTGCCATCCCTTCACACCACATGCCTTCTTTCAAGTGTCCTGTGAGACATCTGTCACTCAGCCAGCTCTTGTCACTGACCCTACCTGAAATCCATCCTCCAACATCTCCATAGCTAAGGGAACTTTATCTCTAATTTGTCTGTGGATGAAAGTGCCTTTATACCAAGGGCTCTGGTATGAGAATCTTCTAGGTGGCTGTAGCTTAGCAACAGCATTCATGGAGAAGCTCAAGGTGTGAGGACAGACAGAGCCTGTAGGAATGAAGCCAAAGTGGTGGGAGAGACCTTCATCCCGCCCCCCCTTGTGCATTGCTGCTCTTCCACAGGCCCACTTACAGCTTCCTTCCAGCGACTGATGCACACTCATCCAACACTCACAGCAACACACGCCCTCTCGCACTCTGACACAGCTTGTCACATGCACACTCACTGCTATATATACTTGCATGCCTACACTTAAACATCCCACAGTTGCATAAACATTCTTCCTCACCTGCATTTTTATGCACTTATACACACACAAACCTTTATTTGTACATATCTGTACCCATCCCACAGTGCCAAACCCCTATGCATTCCCCTCCAACGCTGACTCCTCAATCCTTGACCCTGTTCAGCCATTCTCACACACATATAGTCCACTGATCAAATTTTTACATACAACCACTTTCATACATTTGCAGGCACATAATTTCCTCTCCATCTAGAGCCAAACACTCCACAATTTCCCACAAGAACAGTCAGCTGCTAGTATTTCCCAGACTCCTCCAACACACATTGGAGATTCCTCTGGCCCCCTCTGCTTCCTGCCCCCATTCTCTGCTGATACATACTTTGATCTCCTGTACCAGCCAAACATTCCTTCATACAGAGATCAGAGAGATTGTGTATTCTCAGGAGAGCCAAATCTATAGCATCTCCCTTCTCCTAAACACACAGAATTGTTCTGCTCAGTTGGCTTTTAAGTCCAAAGGCATTTTGTTTATTTACAGCCAGGCTGAGGGAGAGAAAAAGAGAAAAGGCATTTCAGTTTATAAGAAACACTGCCTCTAACCCATGCCTCACTGGCTTATTTTCTACTCATTACACCTTCTATCAGGGTGCAGTCACCAGAAAAGCTTGAACTTTGTAGAATTTGGGAAAGAAATGTCCCATTTGCACTGCTGGGTAATTCTCATCATTGAGTGGTCTCCAGCCAGAACCAGCGAGGGGGTAAGTTGTCCTTAAGACTTTTAGAAGAGCTAAAAAGATGTCAGCCATTCATGCAACAGGCTGCTGGTGGGTCTTAGATGCAAAGACTTGTCCTTCTTGTTCTTCCTCCAAGGTAAACTGCTTCTCATGTCCACAAGGAAGACAACCAAGGCACTGGGATGCCTGTTAGGTATCTTCAGAGGCACACATCACATATACCTATTTGAGAACCCCCTTGAAATGCTAGTCACATGGTAGCTGATGCTCTTCATAGATGGGTGATCAAAGGTTGGATCATGCAGCATAGGACAGACCTTGCTCTCTCCGTACTGCCTGTTCCCATATCCTGTTCTGCTTTCCCTAGATCCTTTACTTCTTGCTACACAAAACTTAAGTGTCCCTTCCAAAGCCAAGTACAATGCTTTCCCTTTTTTTTCCACACCTCATGGAGCCCTCTTCATCTTTAAGCGTAATCTGTAATGTTGCCTTGTATCGACCTCTCACATTGTCTCTGAGATAGGATAGCACAGAGGGTGAAAGGGAACCCATGTCCCAGTCTCCTTCCCCTGCACCATCCCTTTCATCATAAATAACTGACATGCAGCTTGCTGCTCTTCTCACAGCCCACAGGCTCCTCAGGGAGTGGTTTTTGCTCATTGCTTTCTCCTGCCCTGCTGCTTAGAGGGCGCTCCTGTCTGTCATTGCCATTCTGGGTGATCTTGCTGATCTCCTTTTCTTCTCCTCCATCATCAGACTTTTCCGGGGGACATTCTGGCACTTCCTGGCTCTGGACACGGCGGGACGGCCTGAAGATGGCCCTTCGGAAGCCCTGCTTGAAGCGGTAGGAGAGGAAGCCATAGATGATAGGGTTGGCACAGCTATTGGCATACGGCAGCACCACCACGAGGAAATAGACACCGAAGAGGGATGGCTCCTCTGGCAATGGACAAACAACATTGATTATGTTGAGGACATAGAAGGGGAGCCAGCAGAGGACGAAGACAGCCACGACAGTCACCACCATGCGAGTCACCCTGCGCTCCGAAAGCTTATGTTTAGAGGACAGAGCCCTCACCCTTCTGCCAGAGGAACGGACCTTCACAACAATGAGAAGATAGCAGAGACAAATCACCAGCAGTGGTCCGAAGAAGCCCAAAGTGGCAGTGTAGATGATGAAGCCAGCTCGCCAAACTGAGGCAGGTTCTGGCCACTGGATGTGGCATGTGCTCATACCTAAAGGGACATCTGAGAAGACCACCACGGGCAGCACCACTATGGATGACAGCATCCACACAGTGGCACTCACAGCCTTGGCCACTCGTGCTGTTCGCCATTTGGAGGACTTCCCAGGATGGACCACAGCCAGGTAGCGGTCAACGCTCATCACTGTCAGGCAGAAGATGCTGGTGAACTGGTTGATGGCATCCACGGCCATCACCAAGCGGCACATGAAGGACCCAAATGGCCAGTAGGACAGGGCATTTTGTGCTGCCAGGAATGGCAGACCCAGCATGAAGAGTTCATCAGCTAGGGCCAGGTTCAAGATGTAGACATTGGTCACTGATTCACTCACGGAGTGTCGCAAAACCACATAAATGACCAGAGAATTCCCAATTAGCCCCACCACACAGACGATGAGGTAAACCACGGGGATGAGGACACCGCTGACAACCACACCAGGGCTGGTGGTGGTGGTGGAGCTGTTGGGTGTGGTGAAGCCTGCCCAGCTACCAGAGGCATTCCCCTCCTCTGACACTGTTGGCGTGGGGAGGCTGAAAGCAGAAGTGTCCATAGCAGAAGCAGAAAAGAGGGTGAGGACAGTCTCCCTGCAGGATCAATTAGCAACCTGGAGGTGAGAGGAGAAGAAAGGTATTTACAGCAGCAATATGACAGCTGAACAAGCCATGGATAGAACCTCCACGTTAATGTCTGTGGGTATGAACAGGCGTGGGAAGTTGAGGTGGGTTTGTGGGTACAGGCAGCCACTGGAACATGCAGAACGGTATTGATCCCATCCAGACCTGGGAGGTGCAGAAGCTACAGCAGGATAAACAGGGACATGACTCAGTGTGGGATAAGAGGATATTCTCTTCTAGGAAAAGATCCTCGGGGAAGAGTAGGCTAGGTAAGGGGAAATTTTTTGTTTTCTGCTGGTGGCTACAGCACAGGAGGAGCAGATATCAGAGACCTAATTCTCATTTATGAGGAGCAGGTGTCTTATGAACAAAAGAGGGGGAGATATCCAGGGACAAAGTGCCTATGGAATCTTTGGATCCCCCATTCACCGAGTGAATAAATATGAAAATAAGAGCTTCATTATTTTGGGTACTTCAGGAGGGATAAGCACAGATCTCTCCCTTGTCTCTTTGGCTTATTTCTCCCTCCCTTCTTGCTCCCTGAAAAACACTGTTAATTGAGGAGGCTCTGCCTGCTCCAGCTGTTCACAACACGAAAGCAGTGTCCCAGGCTTCCTAATTTGAGTTGCCCAATTGCCCATCACATCAGGCTTTGGCATGGAAACCGCACTCTCAGCTCACTCAGAGAGAGCTTTGAACAAACAAACTCTCTGTCCTCTACCAGCTCTCTGCTGACACTGGGCGCAGAGCTGCAGGGAGAGGAGAGACAGAGAAGGGGAGAGAATGCCTTTTGTCCTTAGTCAGGGCTCTAGAAATATAACAGAGTCCAAACTAGAGACATGTTGGCATAACTTACGCAGGGCAGATGTGTGATGTTTTCAGCTCCAGCAAAATTTTCTGGAGAACCAGCTCCTTGGAAATCATGATGGCTTGGTGGAAGTGCCAGGGACCTGAGGTTCCCCTTTACACAGATCTCTCAGGGTTCTGAAGCACTTTTACTCTTGAATGAAACCTGGAGATCTCAAAGGAAAGAACTCCAAATATTAACTATGTTTTATAGGCCAGAAGCTCTCCAGAAACTTTTCTCCCAGTTGGAGTCTACAGAGAATCTCAATATTGTTCACATATGTCTTGATAGTACAACTTTTTGTCTTTTTTGTTGATGTCATTCCAGCTTTTGGAAACCTCAGGGCAGAGCTGAGTTTTGGATGGTTCTTGGGTATCAAATAGGCAAAACTCAACAGACTTCACAAGTGTGCCAAATCTTATGTTGAAAGAACCTCATCTGACAGACCACAAGAAGAGGCAGCTGGACAACTGTATCTTAAGCCCAGTCATAGAATCATAGAATGGCCAGGGTTGAGAAGGACCTCAAAGATCATCTAGTTTCAACCCCCCTGTCACGGGCATTAGACCAGGCTGCCCAGAGACATATCCAGTCTGGTCTGAAATGCCTCCAGGGAGGGGGCATTCACAACCTCTTAATTATGCAATTGGCTATTGCATAAATGTCTCCTTCTATACTTAAATGAGCTTTGGAGGATTGGAATTGTTTGCATTTCTTTATGTGAAGGTGCCTTGGGCTGTGACACACTGTCTTGATGGAAGCCCACCTCTTGAGGTTCTGCAGTACTGGGCTGTCCCATGCATGATGAGTGGTTGCAATGAATGGATAGAGTAGGAAGTGATTTGACACACTCGTTTCCAAGCTCTAAGATCTTTTTCCACTGCTGTTCCAGTGACACATGTGCTCATTAGCCTTTGTTGGAGGAAGGAGAAGCACAGTGTCTACTCTGAGGAGAAAGATCCTCGTGAACACTGACAGAGAACAGAACAATGTGTACATAAAAAGATGATCTTCTAAAGTGTGGGGACATTGTAAGAAATCCCTTTAGGGTGTTCCCTCTACATGCACAGGAATTTCCAAAAGGGCATTTGCAGATAAAGTCCCACAAATGATAAATACAGATGAGAACACCTGTGATGGTATGAAAAACACATGGGGAAATGTCTGGGGTCCAGACTTCAAAGCTGGTTGTTCATATTGTTGTTTAGCAACATATTAAAGCCAGCTTCAGAGGTCCAAAAACCCTATAAAAATGCTAAAGCATGCAATATGAAACACTGATTCACTATAAAGAGCAGAAGATGAATTCTCCTGCTCGTACAATCCTGGTGGGCAAACTTTGTCTTTAAGCAGGGGTGGTCAGTCTGGGCCCCACCAACTTTGTCAGGCACCATCTACCAGCTCAAATTCCACATCAAATGTCCTGGCTAGTTTGACAGAACAACCACAGAACATCAGTACCTCATTTGGGCTGGTTCCACCCTGCTCTGGCAGCACCTGCATAGGTGGAAAGTGGCGAGGAAAAAACTGGCTTCAGACTGAAGTGTGTTGGCATCTGCCTGGGCTTTGTCCCTAATGATGTGGACAGAATCTGTTGACGGAGACTTGGGGTCTCCCAACAGGTGCTGCCAGAATATATCTGGTCCATACAGTTGGATAGCAGGTGTGGACAGAGAGGTAGAAGGAAGCTGGGAGTTGGTGCAACAATTTAAGTATCTATATATCTATATAGATATTTTTCTACATTTCTGCATTGACTGGGAGGAGGATGCTAAAGCCTGTCTACAAAGCAGGGCTAAAAACCAGGAGAGACCACTGAGCCCAGTAACTTGCTACCTCCTTGCCACCCTCCCCACCTTGTTTGCCATGGTCCTGTTCCAGCTCAGGACAGCCCCTGCCTCACTGTGGGTTGAGCATGGTGGCAGGGAGCTGGCAGAGCTGGGAGTCAGAATGTTTCCTCTGTGGGATGGCAGAGTTAACTTCTGCATGGACTCATGCCCGCGGGAGACAGCTGGGAAGAGCAGACAGAGCTGCCTGGTACTTACGTGTCGTTGGAATGCACATTTTCCTCTGCTTCACCGTGAGAATCCGTGTCATAGTTTTCCCCTTCCCCTTTTTAAAGGAAAGCAGTCCCAGAAGGGAGGGAGTCTAAAATATCCTATCAGCAGAGCCACAAGTCCTTCTTCCTTGGACCTGCCCATCGCTCCATCCCTGACTGCTGCGGGACGTCTCCTCCTCACCCCCAGGGCCCACTCGTGGCCATGGCCATCTGGGGGTGCCAGGCCCCTCAGCCCCACATTAGTGGCTCAGAGGACCCCGACAAATCCCCTGGTCCACCGTCAATCTGCAGAGAGGGGGGCTTGGCAGCCGGGGGCGGCAGATGGAGAGGGGTGGCAGCTGGTGGGGGACGGATCCTGACAACCAATGGGCACCCGGCGCAGGAGAGGCGGCAGAGAATGAGAATGAGGGGCTGAGTGATGGGAGAAGGGATGAAAGGGAGAAAGGAGGGAAATGGAGAGAGAAAAGGGGAGAGATACAGGAGGGGAGTGTGGAGAGAGGAGGAGAGCGCAGGGGAGGGGGTGGGAGACAGCGGGTGCGGTGACGGAGGAGCAGGGTGGAAGGAGGGGGTGGAGGGGAGATGAGAGGGATGCAGAGAGCATCTGTGTGGTGCGAGATGGTGTAGCTGGGGGGGGTAGTGGGGGTGGCTCGGCTCTGCCAAGTTCTGTTCTGTGAGATGGGGGTGGCAGTGCAAAGCACTCTGCAATTCCCCCCCACACACACACACTCTCCCCCCGGAGGAGCAACCTGCTGGCAGCATCTTGCAGGCAGGACCAGTGCTGCTCATTGCTGCAGGGACACAGCAAACCCTTCTGGTTGGTGAGATGCTCAGGAAGAGAGATGCTGTTGAGCATGCAAATGCTTATTCCTTCTGCTCTACCCCAAGAGCGGGGAGGTAGATGGGCAAAGAGGGGGCTGTTTGTCTTAGCTCTCTCTCCCTTGGCTCCTTGCAGAATGTCATGTATTTTACACCTTCATTAGGAAAAAAAAAAAAATATGACAGCCCCAAACTCTCCCACTGGTTTGCATCTGTGCTGCAGGGGGCAGATCCAGAATAAAAGAGGCAGAGTAAAAAATTAAGTTCTTTTGTGACAACACTTCTCCAGGAAGGAAATTAGGATTTCCCCATCTCATTCTCTTCTCTGAGTGCTTCCCTATACTTCTCACCACTTCTCTATGCTGCATCCAGCAGCTGTGACTCCCTGTGCTGTGTAGTGATCTAGCTCTTGACATTTGGCACAGGAGTTATGGGCAGTTGGGCTGGTTCAAGCCTCAACACAAGCAGAGAGCATCCCTATGATCAGAACTTAGCTGTGGCCTAAAACCTGGTCTTCTGAAACTGTTTGAACAATTTTATGTCCAGCCAGTGCTCCTCAAAGGTGAACAGGTGAAGGCAAGTTACAAAGCTCTCAGGATAACTGAAGTCTTGGCAACACCACTGTCTGGAGATACAGAGGATGTGAGACCTCACTTGGGAAGGAATGGCATGGGCAGCACCCAGTGGTTGTCTTTGTCATGGCAGGGCAGGTGGCTGCAGCACTGTGCAGGCAGCCCACAAAAAAAAGCCTTAGAAGAAAAAAAACCATAATGGCAGAGGTCCATTCATTAGGGCTTGTCAGCATGGAATCAGAATCATTAAGGCTGGAAAAGACCTCTAAGATCACCTGGTCCAACTGCCAGCCCGTCCCCACCATGCCCACAGACCATGTCCTCAGTGCCACATCCACACGGTTCTGGAACACCTCCAGGGACTGTGACTGCACCACCTCCCTGGGCAGCCTGTGCCACTGCAGCACCACTTTTTCAGAGAAGAATATCCTAATATCCAATCTGAACCCCCCCGGCACAACTTGAAGCAATTCTCTCTCATCCTATTGCAGTTATCAGGGAGAAGAGGCCAATGTCCACCTGATTACAAGCCTGGAGCCTTGCCCCATTCTAAGCAGCTCCTACAGGAGTTGTGCAAGCTGCTTGGGCTGTGTTGGAAGGAGAGCTCACCTTGTGCCTCTCCAGTGGCAGACAGATATGCCAGTTTTGTTTCATGCATATAGTAAGCCTCTCCTCTCTGCATCACTGTATGCAGTAGGGAACAGAGCATTCAATGCACTATGATGGTAAAAGCTTGGAAACCAGAGAGTGAGTGGGAATTCAGTAATTTGAGTAATGTTTACGGTGCTTAAGGGAGGCTGGATCCCAATCTCAAAGGCTTTCTGTCCCTTGCCCTTCCACAGGTGCATGCCCAGATGTTTTTTCTGCTTCTCTGGATTGGTTAGACACAATTTATGTTACCTTAAACCGGGCTTGGGCAATTCATTTGACAGCTCATATGCAATCTATGGAACTTGCTGCTGCAGGATGTCCTCCAGGGCTGCTTTGCAGATACCAGTGGTTAGACTTCCATAGAACCACAGAATCACAGAATATCCCAAGTTGGAAGGGCCCCATCACTGAATCCAGCTCATGGCTCCAAACAGAACCATTCAAAAATCAGACCACATAACTAAAAGCATTGTCTGGACCATATCACTGCATCAAGCTGCTGTACCCAGACACAGCCATGCACTGAACTCAGAGTTTTCCTGGCAGAAGGGTACCCCAAGGGCTTTGCCATGGTGTGTTACTGCTGACACAACCCATGCCACCCACTTGTGCCAGGACACAGCCTTTGGAACTCAGCAGCAGATCCGCATCCAGAAGAGGCGAGCTGGCTTGACTCCACAGCTCCCTGTGCCCTCCCAGGACTGCAGGATTTTGTATTGCCAATCATCTCACCCGGAGCCCTCCTCCCACCCACGAGCGGTGGTGGTGGAAGTCACCCCATAGCACTTCTGCTTCTCAAGTCCCTGCAATGCATCAGCAAGGCAGGTGCTCACAGCTGCCAGATCCATTGTACCGCTGGGACCACTCTCTCCAGCTTAATTTTAGTGACTTGGAGGCGATTTGTCTGGGCTGGTGACTCATTCCTCTGTTGTATTTTTTATCTTTTTCTGCCCTCCCCCTTCCTGTTCTCACTCTGCCTGCGCCTGGCAGTGTGACCAAGTGTGAATACCGATACGACTGCCTATGACAGCCGACCAGCAGTGTTTGTGCAGATGTGTTGTGGTAAAAGGGTGTCCCCAGCACCCTGCAAACTGAGAGCAGTCTGGGGCTGGGTGGCCCCTCCCAAAGCCTGCAGAGGAGGGAAAGCCTTGCTAGGGGATGAGGAACATCCTGTGAACATATGGGGCAAAAGGCAAAGTGTGACCACCGTGCTGTCTTGGCTAACACAACATTTGTACCATGGGCTTGGCAAGGACATATGGACTGGTCTGTTTATTGGGTCTCATTCACTATGTTGTGATCTGAGGGGTGGTGAGGATGGGGCAGCTGGGGAATGGGGGACTTGTGTAAATGGACAAACCAGTGCCAAAGACCCACAACAGTCTTTCAAGCTAGCAGAAGTAAAAAGCACAGTGACCGCCAGAAGGTACTGAGCTCCGGGATGGTGGAGGCATCACTCTCCTGCATGTGAGGCTGAATCTGGCATCAGGATGGGGCCAGAACCTGCAGCCAAAACAAAAACAGGCTTCATGAAACCAGCCCAGTCATACTCCTGCCCTCCCTCCTTTTGCCCTGCTAAAGAGAGGAGGGGAGAAGGAAAGGGTCAGGTCCTGCTTGGAAAGATCTCGCTTCTCTCTGTCCTCAGACTCTGGCCAGCTTTGCCTTGCATCCTTGAGTTGATGGGACGGGCAAGAAGGGACAATGTGAGGAGCAAAGGAGTCCTGGGGGCCCAGCTGCAGTCTGCTAATGCAGCAGTACAAAACATCCCCTGAGCTGAGCAGGGACTTAGAAGAGGAAGAGCTATTTGGGCAATTTCCCATAAATAAGGAACAGCCTTTTTACCCCTTTGCAGATAAAGGCTGTGGCTTTACATAGCTCACAGCAGGTCATCCTCAGGGCAATGTGGATGCTGCTCCTTCTATGGCAGAAGGTGACAGTTTCTCTGAGGGCAGAGACAAGAAATTCTGGGCCTCCGTGCACCAAGAGATGGGTACAAACCTGCACAAGGGCAGGCAATGGACAAGGGGCCCACAGTCTTCATCCTACCACATTCTGTCCTGTCCCTAATGAGGATGACCCATTCCACTAGATGCAACAGATCCTAACCACCTGGGTTAAGGAGCAGCAATCATAGAATGGCTTAGGTTGGAGTGCACCTTAAAGATCATCTATTTTCAACCTACTGCCTTAGGCAGAGCTGCCTCCCACCAGCTCAGGCTGCCAAGGGCACCATCCAACCTCGCCTTGAGCCTCCAGGGACACGGCCACTGGTGTCTTTCCCATGGATCCCTTTCACACTTACTGTCCTAGAGGAGGCTGCATGCTCGTTTCTTCGTTCGGGTGGGCTGTGGGCAGAGGACTGCTCGGATGGCCTCATCAAACACCGTCTTCAGGCCACGCTGCGTCAATGCTGAGCATTCGAGGTATTTCACAGAGTCTGTTGGGAGGAAAGCAGGTGCTGTAATGGGGAGGGAGGAAATGGGGGTAGGCAGGTTGGGTATGCAGGAGCTTGCTGTGAATGGTGCTGACTCAGAACCATGCAAGAGGAGGAGGAATACCACAGATTGCTGTCAAGATGAGAGAGAGGAATGTATCTGTGTCAGCGGCACAACTCTGGCTCCAATCACCTCATAGCCACAACACCCTCCTCCCTCAGTGCCTGTTTTGCAGATATGTCCTGAAGCGTATACCTAACCATCACCTGAATCTCCTCTTGAGATGAGGTCTCAGTTTCCTTATGCTTCAAGTGTCATTCAGACTGATCACAAGAACCTTTGGTGGCATCTTAAATCACACAGCACCTCACTTTTGGAGCTCTGCAGTCCCAATTCTCAGAAATCTTGTGCTGCAGAGCAAGGCACTTGGCTCTTGCCCAAACTGAATAAACACAACTCATATGACCAAATCCATACAGCACTATCAGGGCATACTTCTCTGACTCAGGCAATCCTGACCTCAGGGCAAAGCTGTTTCATCTGTACAAGACCAGGATTTGCTTATTCCCCACTCCCCATTGTCAGATCTGAGGCTATGTGACGCTGGCTATGCTATCCTGGCTTCCCACATTCTCTTCTGAACAGTCAGTTGAAAACTTGTCCTTCAACTTGTGTTCCTCACCCTCTCTTCCACAGCTGAGAAAAGGGGTTACCTGGTGCAAACACTTGTGCAATGTCCCAAAATACAGGGGGAAGCTGATGCCCAGAGTGGGGGGTGAGACACAGATATCTGAGGAAATTGTTGTTGCATCTCTTTCTGAGAGATGTTAGAAAACTCAGTCTTCTGCCTATTTCCGGAAGGCCTCTGCCCACACAGCAGCTGTGGCTTTCACAGTAAAATATTGGCCCAGATAGAAATAGCAGAGTAAAAGGGGAGCAGACTGTGCGAGTGCATATTTATGTGTGTGTTGAGGATGGCATCTAGAGAGAGGCAGAAGACAGAGGCTTGAGTTGTTTATGTTTCCTCAAGAAGCACATCTCCCTCCTAAGTCTCCTGAAGTGCATTTTGTCCCATGACCCCTGTTCTCAAAAGGCCTCAAAAGGTTGAGAGGAAGCCCTTATCTTCTGCCTCAATTTTTTCGATGTTGCCTGCAAAGCACATACCGATTTCCTTGGCCAAGGCAAGACCCTGAGGATATGTAATAGGAGAAAGCTTCTTCTCCTTCAGCTTCTCAATGGTGTCTTTGTCATCACGAAGATCCAGCTTTGTGCCCACCAGGATGATGGGAGTGCTGGGGCAATGGTGTCGCACCTCTGGGAACCACTAATGAGGGAGCAAAATTGCAGAGACAAGAGAGGACATGCATGAGTGAAATAAAGGGGCACCCTTAAAAATGTTAACAGAACACCATGTTCTTCCATGATGTCCTTCCATTGAGTATTGGGCACTACAGCCTGGCCCAGACCAGCCCTGTTGCTGGGTCTACAGACCTCAAGTTCAAAGCATGAGTTGAATCCCTCAGGAACTCAGACACCAGTGCAGGGGAATAGTGAGAAGTGAAAGGAGAGACTCAGTGCTAAATACAATCTACTAACTAAAGCATAAGCTGTTTTCTATCCCTCACAGCTTTCTGAAACCCAAGGAGGAACTTGAGACTTGCAGGAAGGAAACACTACGTTTTTCTCCATCTCTCCTTCCTCCCTCACTTCCTATACATTCTTCTCTATCTCTCCTTCCTCTCTCACTTCCTATACAAAGGATGTGGGTACCAGCTTTTCGTATTCTATGGACAGTCTTGGATGAAAGGTGCCATCAGAACGTAAGCCTGTGGTCTCACAGAGTAGCCCATCAAGGAGAATTATAACCCTTCAGTGGGGTTGACCACCTTCTTTGAGCTGTTGCATAAAAGACTCAGAAATTAGGCTGACATTCAATTCCTTCTAACGTATGCAGAAAACAATATTGCCCCTCTAGGTCTAGAAATCCCCTTAGTAGTCTCCATCCACAGTCAACTCTTTGCAAGACCAACGCGAAACTCACTCTCCTCACCCACTGATGGACGAAGATGCTCTGTCTCACCTTAGCACGGACGTTTTCATAAGATGCTGGGCTGACAAGGGAGAAGCAGATCAGGAAGACATCCTGTAGGCATGCAACCATGGTACAGAGTTAGAATGAGTGTATGGGATTGCAATACAGGAGGCAGGGAGGGGATTGCAGAACTGGGTGGGCACCAAAATGGTTCATGTTGGGGAAAGCTGTCTCTCACCATCTGACACTGTCCAGACTGCTGTTGATTGCCTCTAGGGAAGGGAAGAATATTTAGTCTCCTGACTCATGGTAACCATAGCCACCACTATCAGAAGAGACAAGCGTTTAGCTATGAGGATGGGGTTTTTGTGGTAAGAATATTCATTTGTATGGGAAGCAGTCTGAGAGCGTCCAGTTCATTTCTCAGAGAACACCAGATAGCTGTCATTGCCTGCTGTTGAGACAAAATGACATTCAACCCCAAAAGTGGACGCGCAGGAGGCAAATGAGGCACAGTATGGATAAGCACTTCTGGGCATGGCAGAATTTAGGCTTCAATTTAAAACAAAACAAAGCCAAAGCAACTCTTCAGAGTTATATTTATTTCATTCAACTTCAGCTATTTCAATCAAGAGTGCCAGGCCCAACCTGCCCTCTGCCATATTTCTACAGCCACCAGAGACAAGCACCTCAGAAAAGTTTTACCCACCTATACTTGGCACATGTCCTATGGTAGCTACAAGTATGTTGTTGAGAAATAGGCATGCTTGCACAGTCTGCAGATAAAGCCTAAGCAGCCAGTATACATAAAGCATCCAACAATCCTGCGGCCAAACACAGCTGGAACAAACAGTGCCTCAATTCCAGCCCTTTTGGTTGCAATGGCAACCTTCAAACCAATGCTTGAGGCAGCAGATTCTTTCTGTGCTTTCCAAGAGACTTCTAGGAAAAATATCCTCCAGGGAAGGTGGGGAGGATTACCCATTTATTCTGCCAGAATAGTGGACTTAGCTGAGGCATCAGCAGATCAAATACATGTTTATAAACCTCCACTCTTTTAAAGGTCAGAAGCCAAAATAGGAGTTCACAGGACTGTGGAAAGCTTCTGCCCCTGCTCCTAAACTCTCTCATCCACTTTAACTTTTTCTTAAGAAAGGCTTTTGTTTCCCAGGGCTGTATAAAGCAGCTATCCCACATTAAAACCAGTGTCAGCTGGACTCATAAGTGTTTTGAGGATCTCAGTTTCCTTGCTTCTCAGTAATGAAGAGTAGATGAGGGCTCCAAAACACCCTTTGGTATCTTTTACCTTTAGGATTTCCAGATATTGTATATCAACATAGGGATTCTCAGAAGATGGCAAAGAGAGAAGGGAACAATCCTATCATTGCTGTCTGGCAAATGTTGATTTTGCAGCAGGGAAAGGAAATATATCTGAAGGAGGACCAGAGTAGGAGGAGCATGGAGTGTGACCCACCGTCTGTGGGTAAGAGAGTGGCCTCAGCCTGTCGTAATCCTCTTGTCCAGCAGTATCCCATAGCCCCAGATTTACAGGCTTGCTGTCAACCATCACATTGGCAGAATAGTTATCAAACCTGAAATGCAGAGACATACATTGAGGCTCAAAAAGTGGAAGAGGGATGGGGCAAAAAACTTTACTCTGTGCCTCTCAGGGCAAAGGGTAGATTCTTCTCTGTTGTTTCTGGTATATTTTTCATGTTTCATAAGGGAAACTAGTGACAGGAAGGAAGCAATGAAAAGACTTTTTGAACGAGCTCATGACCCACGCTGCCACTGTGAGATAAGCCTTACTGCAAGGAGCACAAAATGGCCTCCTTTCATCATCTCCAACCACAAGTCTCAGGCATGAGGAAAAATGATGTGCAGCCCACAAACACATGGCCATTTCACAGCCACTCCCAGGAAAGGTGTGGTGTTCTTACACAAACTGGCTTCCAAGAAGAAAGAGGTTCTTGCTGCCACCATCACTACTTCTGCCTCTGTTGTGAATTGGTCCAGAGTAAAAACTGGGGCCCTCAGGTTTTCTTGTACCTGAGATGACAATCTGACACATTCATTTTCCCAAGTCTGGGAGCGTGTAGTCATATCTCAGTGGTGCTGTATGAGGATGCACGGTGTGCATCTCCAAACATATCTCACACAGAGTGGGGAGAAAAATGCATCCAGCTACTCTGACTAAGAATCATAGAATCATTAAGGCTGGAAAAGATCTCTAAGATCATCTAGACCAAATGTCAGCCCATCCCCACCATGCCCACTGACCATGTCCCTCAGAGCCACATCCACAGGGTTCTGGAACACCTCAAGGTGACTCCACACCTTCCTGGGCAGCCTGTGCCACTGCAGCACCACTCCTTCTGAGAAGAAATTACCCTAATATCCAACCTCAACCTCCCCTTATGCAGCTTGAGGCCATTATGTCTAATCCTATAACTGTTACATGGCAGAAGAGGCCAAACCCCTCCTCACCATAACCTCCTTTCAGGTCGTGGTAGAGAGTGATCAGATCTCCCCTGGGACTCTCTGAGTCTCCAGCCTGAACAACCCCAGATCTCTCAGCCGCTCCCCATCAGACTTCTGCTCCAGACCCTTCACAGCTCTGTTGCTCTTCTCTGGATACACTCCATGGCCTCTATGTCTTTTTTGTAGTAAGGCAACTGTAAGTCTGCTGCTCTTTCCATACATCCCCTGAATTGCATAGACCTCCTGCTCTGGCATTTAGCCCAGTCCTGTGCTCTTACCACCAGGGTTATCAGTGCCTGGTTCAGTGACAGCAGGTACCTTGAACAAGGAAGCATGTGTGGTCCCTCACGCAGAAAACCACTTTCTCTGGGGTCTGGTCCATTTTTTGTAGCTTGGCAGCAAGACTCCATCTACTACTTGTAAACTTAGCAGGCATGTAGAGCCTTGCGTTAGTTTATGTTTTCGAACTGTTCCATTTATACTTTGGTTTTATAAGGCCACTTGTGCTTCTAGTGAAAGGTGAATGACAACCTGAAGTCATGTTGGTTTGGCATCTCTTCCTCTGCTGGTACAGGGGTTTGTGACAAGGACTCTTTGCATTCTCTTATAACCTGCTTTCCTTGCCTCCCACCCACCCCCAGACTGCAGATGTGTCACTCACACAGTGGGGATGTATTCTCCTGGAAAGGCATTGGTGGTGTAGCTGATAAGGAGACAGGTTTTCCCCACAGCTCTGGAAGAGAAAGAAGAAACACAGCTGAGAACAATGGTAGTCCAGGCAGTCTTCCAGGGGTGAGATGGAGAAACCCTCCCATGACTCAAAGCTAGAGTTTATTAGGAGAACCTTGGAAGGATTAACACATTCACAGGACTAGACAGAACATAGCCATAGGTTTGACTACCAGATGGAAGGAAGACATGATGTCACCCAGAGCAGTTGGTTGCCTTTGAGCACAAATGCTTGTTTTTACGGTCTGGTATGGAGATCCCTCAGTCAGACTGCATCCAGGTGAAGATAAGAGCCCATTTTCCCAGTGCTGCACACTCATAGCTAGAATAGCCACACAGTGTCTTGGTGCAGAAATGTCAGAACTGAGCTTTCCAACTGTCTGCAACCTTGACAATTTGCACCATCTATGAAGCACTGCAAGCTGCACTATCAGCCTTACCAAGAGCTGCAAGCCACCAGCAAGATGCCTCTCCTTGTGGCTGACTGAAACTGCTCACACTTTTTTTGCACATGTAACTCGTTCTTCCTCCTTCCTCAGCCTCCCCCACCCACACACTGCATGAGGGTGGAGAGAAATAAGCCAGAATAGCAGCACAAGACAGAATGGGCAAGAGCACTGGTGGAGACACTCCATCTGGCCATGAACCAACCTTCAAGCTTTTCATCTGTACCTGCAAAGTCTTCTCTTGCAGAGTTGTGGCTGTATGTATTGGTGTGCCCTTGACATGCACAGTTGGCATATTTGCTCTAGTGGTAAGGCATCTACCTCAGTCATCACACTGTGAAGCGGCTGAAGATGAAGCAGCACTTCAGCATGCTCTGATGCTTTTTTTTCTCTCTGCCACCTCCCATTCTTATATCTGCCTCGCTGAGTCCCCTCTCTTTCCCCAGCTTCCCTTTTAGCTCTTGTAGATGACCACAGAGGCTCACTCTATGCAGAATGGCTTAGAAGACCTGTGGTGCCAAGGGAGTGAGTTAGGCACGGAAGGGAGGGATGGTTCTGAATTAGTGTGGTTGAACTGAGAGAAGCATCAAGGGTCACCGAAGGGGTGAAGGTTATGGCAAAGCAGGTTCCTGTGATTGAACTCTGGGAGAGCTAAGAGGCAGGTGATATGTGATGGGGATGGCTATGAGGCCAGAACAGCTATGGGGGAACACGAGAGGCTTAGTTAAGTAATGGCACAAGGTCCTGTGGTCAGTAGGGTTGAGCTGGTGGAGAATGACAAGACTGGAATGGCTGGGAGGGAGGTGGAGAGTGTGAAATAAAACCAAAGAGCTTTGGGTGGTGACTAGACAACTAGGTGGAGGGTGGGGAAGTGTACAGAGAAACAGAATCATGGGGCGGACAAAAGATTTAGGAGGATTTGAGGTCAGAAGGACATGTAGTGGATTTAGCCGTGTTATAAGGGGAATGCTGCCTTGAGGGCGTTAACAAGAGTCAGCGTAATATGTGAAGGGGAAACTGCGGGTTAACAGGGCAACATATCAATGCCCAGTGTTGTTGTTGTTCTAGCTCTAGCCTGCACCCTTCAGGGACTTTTCCAAGATGTAACGATGCTTACACAGAACTCTCTCAGTGCCCGTCTCTTCCTCCCACCCTGTTGCCCCAGTCCCTGAGAATATGTCTGACATCTATTGTTGTTTGCAGACTTCTTCCTCCCTGGGGTAGATCTGAAGGAGGAAGTGACTGTGGGGAGCAAAGTTGCTGCAAATGTCTCTTCATCTGTTGCCTGATAGCTGCCCCAGATAACATTCTGGCCAGCTCCCAGCTGGGAAATGAATTAACCAACTCCATGCTAGATGACCTGCTCACTGCTGGACTCTGCTCCCTTCATCCACTGCTCCCATTGGGCAGTGGACCACAGATCTTGTCCCCCAGGTCCCCAGCAGCACTGCCTCACTTTTTGTCAGCTTAGATCAATTTCCAAAGATCACAGGACATGGACATTGCATGCCTCCAAGGGCTATAAACCTACGCCCAACTCATTGTGATCCCCTTGTCCTTGTGCCCAAAGAAACCCATCACCAAACACTCTCCCCACACACTGAAGAAGGGACAACAAGTTGAGAAAGGCTGAACATGCAGACACTGGAGGATATATCATCAGGACCATAGCTCTGCATCCTCCTTTGGCCAGCCCTGGTGAGCAGATGGCCTCCAAGGAGCCATTTCCCTGCAGCATGGCACTTGCACCTCTTGGGTTTTCAATCTGACTCCTGCCCATAGGTTGAATCTGGCAGTGATGCTACTGCCTCCTGCGTGTGAGCCAGATCTGCCAGGCCTGTGAGTGACAGTTCCACTTTTGCAAATGCCCTTCAAAGCACCCTGTCCTCCCTCCCCAGGCTCTTCAGAGCCACATTCTTTGCCATGGTGAAGAAAGAGTAGCAAAAAATGCAATGCAAGAGTTAGGACATGAAGCTGGGGAGGTCTCAGCAAGCAGCAACCATCTTCTTCACCCCTCATCACCACCCCTCCCTCCCACAGAAAAAGGAGATACATACCCATCTCCCACCACGACACACTTGATGGCTTGCATGTCCTTAGGCCTGTGGTGGAGGACAGTGCCTGGGGCAAAGGAAAGTCAGGTCAAGGCAAACAGCCGGCAGACACGGGCAAATTTGGGTATCAGACCTTGAGCTGAGGCAAGGGGTCAGGTTGCAGGGAGGGAGGAAGTGGAAGAAGGAACTTCACTCAATCACCCTCTGGTCCCTCCTCCCCTCCCACCGCAGCTCTGCAGTGAGGCCGTTGGCTGAAGGCGGAGCATGTACGACTGTGGTTTGGGAGATTATTGCTGTAATTTTTTTTCGCACCACATCTCTCAACCCACTGCCTTCCTGCCCCATTCAAGCCAACAGCTGGGGGCACCAAACTGCTTTTGCATGAGAGCTGAGGCAATGTTAGAAAAGGGTGAGAAACTGGAAGAGTGGGCTTTCCCCTCTCATCTTTAGCATCCAGAGTTTGAAGGAGGTGTAAACAGGCCTGGGGATCTGCAGTGAGAGTAGCAAAGGACATGAGGCAGTGAAGATTTCTCATGTCTTCCCTGTATCAAAAGGACAAGAGGTAATGGCTTCACGTTGCTCTGGGGGAGGTTCAGACTGAATATTAAGAAGAATTTCTTCTCTGAAAGAGTGATGCTGCACTGGCATAGGCTGACCAGGGAGGTGATGGAGTCACCATCCCTGGAGGTGTTCCAGAACCGTGTGGATGTGGCTCTGAGGGACATAATTATGGGCATGGTGGGAATGGGCTGGCAATTGGATTGGATGATCTTGGTCTTTCCAGCTTTAATGGGTCTATCCCTCGGTGTCAGTGGCGAAACATTGAGAGGAATAGCATTTTCTGCAAAGACTGAACAAGGAACTTAAGCAGTCTCTTGGAAGCAGCATCTACCCCATGGCTGTTTGTCCCACCACTCCTGGAGCAGTAAGGTCCTGTCCCTCCTCCTCACCTGTACCTGAATTACTAGTACGAAAAAGCATTGAGTGTATCTATGTGTTTGTCATGAAGAGGAGTAAACACATCAGAGGATGTAATGATTTTTTTTTCTCTTGTTGCTTCTAGAAGAGCTAAGTCTTGTGCAAGAGAGTCCCCACAAACCATTTTCTCCCTGTCCACTCTGTGCTAAAGCAGCCCGTGAGACCTGCTGATAGATTTCCTCATCTTGTCCTCAGAATTTTGAAGAGCTTTAGAGCTAAGCAACAAAGAGAGGGACTCAGTCACCTTCAGAAATAAGAGACGTGGAGCCCTACTCCTTCTTTTCACTCCTCAAAATGAGTCTGAAGCTCCTTCCTTCCCCCAGCTTGCAATGCTATGCCTAGAAAAGGGTGCACGTGTTCGTGTCTTCAGCCTGAATTGATGGGTAGATAGATAGAGGCACACTTGAGAGAGGAAGGGATATGGTGACACAGAATTAATTAGAATTTCCAGGTTTGTCAGGAGGCCCGTTAGGCCAAGAACAGTGTGTGTTAAGCCGGCATGTTCTTGAAAGAAGGAATGCTGAGGGAAACTGCTTTTCCAAAGGCTGGTGACCTTTGTGCTGCTGCAGCCACGGGAGGTTTTTTGCAGTCGACCCATTCAGGTGTGTAGCACTTTCCTATCCGTCACTCGGTGTTGGCTGGAACCCAAAAACATTCAACCGTGGAAAGTTTCCAAGCCTTGCGGCTGTGTCAGAAGCACAAAACTACCAGCTGTACTAGGTGTTCCCTCTGCGGGTGGTAGGGAAGGGGGGAGGAAACACACTGGCTCCTCTGCAAGAGCAGGAATGAGCTGTGGAAATGCAGGGAATACAGGTCAGAGAAGGACAGAAGAGAGAGTCACAAAGACTGCTATAGAGACAGCAGCAGTAGGAACTGGAAAGGGCAGGCATCTGCAGAAATATGGTCGAGCAGGAGGTAGAGATTCAATGGGAATAGAAGATGGCTATATGTTGTTCTAGAGAATGATACTGGTGGAAGAAAAATGCCCAACATTTACAGCTTGAATGAGGCCTGTGATACTCAAATGAAGCAATGCTGGTAGAGCTGGTAGTGTGCCACATCTGAACCCCAGATCCTAAGCCCAGCAAGTGTCAAGGTATATCTGCAGACCATGGACAGATGGCTGTAGCTACACTGTAAAGCCTGCCATGGGCAGTTGGTTGGTAAAGGGGACACAACTATCCAAGGGAAATTCTGAGCTTGACATCAGTCCATTTGTCAGAAAAGTTTGAAAAACTGTGTCACATCTGTGCTTGGAAGGTTTTGGGACACTGGGCAATCCAGTATTTAGAGGGAGATTATAAACAGGAGGGAAACAACTTTTTACATGGATAGATAGTGATAGGAAAAGGGGGAATGGTTTTAAACTAAAGGAGAGGAGATTTAGATGAGATGTCAGTTTTTCACTGAGGGAGCAGAGAAGCACTGGCACAGGCTGCCCAGAGAAGCTGTGATGCCCCATCCCTGGAGGTTCAAGGCCAGGTTGGATGGGGCCCTGGGCAGCCTGAGCTGCCGGGTGGCAGCCCTGCCCACAGCATGGGATTGGAACTGGGTGGGCTTTAAAGTTCCTTCCAGCCCAAGCCATTATGTGATTCTATGATTCTATGACCTGATTGGAGTTTGCTCACAAGTGGATACGCTGGGAGCTCTCTGTGGCAGATTTCTGAGTGACAACTGAGGGTCCCTAAAGATTCAGGGGTGGGCAGTCCGGGGTGGGCAAGCAGGAAACTCTTTCCTGGACATTTCTGAAACTGCATTTGGAATCATCATATCCAAAAGAACATTTCTGTTTCTACCAGAGTTTCTGTCTGAAGTTATGAAATACCGCAGGGTGCATGGTGAGATGCAGGATGGCAAGAACAGAGACTGGTCACTTGGGGTGGAAAGGTTGGGGGCTAAAAAGATGGAAAGAGATGGAGGAGATATTGAGTGTTAATTGGGACAGAGTGATGGTCACATAAAGACACTTGGGATGGGATCCAGGCTAAGGGATACTGGACGAGAAACTGCTCAGGGATAGAGTGGGACCTGCTGGCAGAGATGAACAAGGACCACTCACCTGCTGTCGAGATAAAAGCAGTTAGGGAGAAGGGACTGTAGAGAACCATGCCCAGATGAGCTCCATTTCAAAGACACTGCAGCTATGTATGGCCAAAACTGAGCTGTAGAAGTCCTGGCAAGGTAGAATTTCTTTATCCTCATTCTGGGCAAATTGCTTTTGGAAGATAATTGCCTGCTACCAGTGTGGATAGCCAGTTTTCTTCCAAGTGAGAGATCTGTGTTGTGAATTTATAAACATCCCTCTTCTGCCAGACGCTCTGCAGAGGAACGGCAGAAACTCTACATGCAGAATTTTAACAGTTTTATTTCTATCATATTTAAATTATTAAAAACAGGATATTAAATTCAAATAGTACACATTATAACAGCTCTGAGAACAACTGGTGCCTGATACACTGAAATATCTCTACTGTGTATGCTGAAGGAATGAAAAGGGAAGGAAACTGCAAGAAACTGCCTCCTAAACCATTGGGTGAGCCAATACAGAGCTTTTGCTGCTTTGATGTGCTCTCACACCACCAAGAGGTGCTCTTGACATTGGTTTCCTTCTTCATGTGCAGCAGGGTCAAGGAAAGGCAGTCATCTGGGTTTTCTTGTTCCCTTTGCTGAGTTTGAGGAAGACACTAATAGGGAAGAATTGCCCATTCTGAATGACCCATCCGCACTGGGTTTGTATCAGTGCCCACGTAGGACAGTAGGCAAGGGACAGGATGCATAGCATTACCATTTTTTCCTCTAAAAAATGAGTGGGAAATTTGGCTCATTCCATCTCTCCCTCTTTTTCTATGGTATTCTGCCATAGGATAAGACAAGGATGAGAGGAATCTGGGTCCTGATATAATTTATGTTATATGATCTATTGCTCAGGCAGTCCTGCGTGGCCGTGAGATGTTTTCTGTGTGTGCTGGGCCTCCACCAGGGAAGACATTTGTTCTCTGCAAACTGTCCCAGCAAACTCGATGTATTTCCCTCTTGCCTCTTCTCACTTCCCCTTTCACACAGCTTTGTACCATCTGTCTGCTTGCTACCTTTAGTTCTTTCTTTGCTTCTATTATTCTACGAAGCGTCCACTCCTCCAATTTGCTGCCAACCCTCACCCCTCACTGCTGTGGTTTCTCAGTGACTGCCATGCTTACTTGGAAGCAATAAACTCAGAGCTGAGATCAAAACTGGAAGGGGTGAGGCACCTCAGGCCATAACGCTCTTTCTAGAATAATTATACCGGTGGATCTCTACCCTAAATTTAACTTGTCAAGCAAAAGCTAATAAACAAGCAAACAAACAAACAAACAAAAGCTTCCAATCCTTAGTTTTGAACCCATATTGCTTCTAGACTTTCCTGGGATCTAGCCCTACTACAGCTGTGGGGCAGTTGGTCCATAACATGCTGTGGGGACTGGTCTGCCTTCCAACTGGGGCTGCTCTCAGCATGCTGGTTTGGGGCAAAATAGCTGCTCCACTGCCATCCTCTGTCTGGAGCACTGAGAGTAGTAGTTCATCTCCTTCATCTCTTCTCCATGATGTGCCTGGATAAGCAGAAGATCATGGTGTGGTCCTCTGAGCATTGAGGTCCTTGTGAGGGCTGATTTGCACTTATATTTCCCTCACTTGAGAAGTGAGAAGTTGTTGGCAGATTCCTAAATCATACTGATTTTTATTTTTATTTTTATTTTTTTTTTTATGGCTTGCTCTTATCTGCTTCTCTATTTCTGCAAGTCCCTGGTGATTCAGATATCAGCTTCCATTCTTACAGTTATTTTGTTCTCAGCCAGTGATATCTCCACTTCACAGATACCACTCTCTTACTTAATACTGATAAATACAGATCAATATCTGACTGTGCATCCTTTCTCACTGGGTGCTGAAGCAGTTCAATAGCATTTTTTCATGTGTCTGTTATAATGGAGAGGTAACTGGGTCTGGAGATGGCATGTGTAAATTCTAATTTAGTGTAAACTGCTTGACTTGACTTCTTTGCATGCTAGCAGTCTTCACTGCGCTTTGTAAAGCCAGATCTTATGCACGTCTTTCCATGGTAAGCTATAGGATCTTCTAGGAAGGTTGAGGGAAGTAAAAAGAGCTGTTCTGAGTACTAAGGAGGTCTATAGCTATTCTTTTACAACACTAGTATTCCCTGAAGTACCAAAATAAAATCTTTCTTGCCTTTC